CCGCCCGCCTTCTCCAGCCCCGGGCCCCCGCGTTTCGTGAAAGCGGCCGGCTGGACACGGCAGCCAGCGCAGGAGAACCCCCTCACGCCGACGTTCCCGCTCAGCGACCCCCGTCCACCGCCGCCTCTCTGCTCGCCGGCCACACCGCCTGTCTTTGCCGGGTTTGGAGGTGAGCTCGGTTCCACACTGCAGGCTCCTTCCCCTCTGGCAATGGCACCGCATAAAATCTCTTTACCGCCTTTAACTGTCTGGCTTTCTTCATCTTTGACGACAACCTCTGAGGGGGATCAGAACATGTCACCCCAAAAATGCCACTGTGGCATAGGATTATTTTGAGCTGAAAGCAAAAGTGAGGAAAAGCAGACAGAGGATGACTCTCTGCCCTCCCCCATCTTCCTAAAAGCAGGGCACAACCCCCCTGGGAAGCTCCCCCACCCTGGACGAGGAAAAGGAGAATAACCCTCGTCAGCAGAGACGGAGACAGGGCCGAGATGAGTCTGCACAGGCAAACCTTACTAAGTAAACCCATCTACCGTTAGTCTCCCCATATATTTACCTTCCCACAATTTACCACCCAAGCAACCCAAACCCTCTTTCTCTTGTCACATCTCTACAACTTATTGCCCTTTGTTAAAATTGTACATAAGCCCCCAAGTCTAACTTTCTTTGGGCTTTTCAATTCTTTTCTGTGAAGTCCCTGTGCACGTGAAAAATATTAACATCAAATAACATTCATATGATTTTCCTCTGTTATTCTGTCTATTGTCAGTTTAATTCACGTGCTGTGGGTATGGAATCTAAGAGGGTAGAGGAAAAGATTTTCCTCCCCTACACCTCAGAAGAATAAATGCTACAAACATACAAAAATCATCATTCGAAAACTTATTTATATTTCCTTTCACACTTAGTTTTGTAAATTTCAAATAAAGGTTGTTTGATTTTAATTTTGTGTTTCTGTTCCTCTGACTAAAAGTGGCAAATATGTGTGGAAACAAAAGATCAACATAAAAATGATTCAAACTTCACAGAACTAAGCAGGAAAGAGCTAGAAATGCTGAAGGTCAGCTTCGTCAGCACTGGGGGGAGTGAGGCTGAAGGCCACGGGCCAGGCGCCCGGGTCCTCCTGTGTCTCACCGGCGCATCTTCCGTGCGTCCTCCTCTCGGATCCGCAGCCTCCCTCCACCGGCTCCAGGCACAGCAGCTGAGCTGACTCTCCGCGGCTGCCCCTCCAGGACGTGTGCCCACACTCAGCACAGAGCTGGCAAGGGACCCCCACGACGGGGGCGGCTCACGGGGCCTGTCCCAGGACAGCCTCAGGGTGGACAGTGTGGCCTCACAGTGTTCCTCCGGGAACCCACTGGGGTGGGGAGACCAGCTCTGCCGGCGTCACACGGGCTCCTCCGAACAGCAGCCTCCCCCCCGGTGCCGGACCTAACACACAGGCCACCGCGGCTGGTCCGTGTGCCAGGACAGACCCACAGCAGGTGGCAGGCCGCAGGCGGCCGTGTCCACCACAGGCCAGGTCGCCGCAGCCCTCATCAGCCTCCCCAGCCCCGCCCACGGCCGTCAGGGCTCGCCGGGGCGCCCCTCTCCCGTCGGGAAGCTCGCCCACCCGAGGGTGAGGGTGGCTGCCACCTGGCTGTGGCAAGCTGTGAGTACACAGCCTCACGGTTCTCCTCAGGGTGGTCTCGTGCCACAGAGACTCTGAGCACCGGGTCCTTGAAAGCTCCCCAGGGAGCGGGAGGGATCCGAACGTGTTGCCAGGTTGCCAAGCTCAGCTCCAGAGCGAACTTTCCTCCCAAGAAGGTCCCCGATGGAGGGACACCGGCAGTCACGCTGTAGGGACGTGCTGGGCCAATCCCGAGAGCAGGGCTTCTCTTACAGGGTCACCACCCTGACTGCAGTCACTGGGATTGAGAAGACGATGGAGGAGGAGGAGGACAAACATGAGGAAAAGAAGAGGAACCGTACTAACCTGTCTTAAAAGACCTCATTACCTTGTTTGGATCCTGATTCAAACAAACCGACTTTTTAAACAAACACTTTTGAGATAAAAGGTGAAATCTGAATACGGACCAGAGATCAGATCAGACAGGGAAGTGCTGTCAGTCCTGCGAGACCGGAAAGCCTTCCTTATGTAGGAAACACCCATAGTTTCAGAGAACTGTGGGAAGTGTGGGGCCCACTCCAAACCCCAGAGGTTCCATAAACATGATTTTACATGAAGACATTTGAGATTTGACAGATGTAGAAGCAAGCCTCCTTGTAGCTTCCCTTATCTGACTAAAAGCATCAAGTTCTGGGAAATGAGGCTGCCATAAATCCCTGCTGTGGGGCATTCTACTCCCAGGAGAGACATCGAGAGTAAACCTACCAGAAATCCCCTCTCCAGGGCAGTTTTGTGACCCTGAGGAAGGTGGAAAGACCGCTCACAGCTTTATACACAGACACTATCACAAACCTTATCTCCTCTCTGTTCTACTAAAAACCCATTTGTCTTTCCTAAAGAAACTCAATTGTTTTTCCCAGAGAGGCCATTTCTCCCCCTCCCTTTTCCCTTCTAAGTTAGGTATGTAACCCTTTAACTTTAACCATTTAACATGCCAGCTACTTCCTTTGTTGGCTCCCAAATGCATACAAAATAAACGCAGTTTTCTCTGTTAATCTGTCTTGTGTCAGTTTAATTCACAGGCCCCAGCTACTGAGCCTAAGAGGGTAGAGGACAAGTTTTTCCTCCCCTACAGAAGCATGTAGAGGTAAACCTAGTGATGTCTGGGGTTTGCTTGAAGAAAAAAATCCTTCAGCCAAGACAAAACAACAGGACAAAGGAAGCAAATACAGTGAAGTACTGATCTGGGCAATTTATACACCAGGTCCATTGCTCTCTTGAGTGTTGTTTTGAAAATTTATATTAAAGTTTTAAAAATTCTATGATCCTGTTTTTAAGTTGGAAGAAATCCTCAGCCCAGAACCGGCCCAGTGATGTAAAGGACGCACAGAGGATCTCCGGGACTTGGGGGGGACAGAATGAGCATCCAGTGTCCACTCCTTCAGCACGCCGTCGGCGCCCAGCCCCTGCCCTGCGCGGCCGGACTCGGGCCTAGGCTTGTGTTTTAGTGAGGAGACACCATCCAAGAAACACCGCAGCAGGGCGCGGGGTGGGGGGAGCCAGCCGTCTACACCGCAGGCCCTGGAGTTGGCGCCCGGCTGTTTCTCCCCCCTTTTGCGGTGGCCCGAGCCTCAGTTCCCACATCCGTCCATTTCCTCCGGACTAGGACTCGGGGTGCGCGCAGCCACCGGCCAGGGTTAGGTCAGGGCTGGGGGCAGCGACCCGCCGGAACCACCGCAGGCGCTGGCAAGGCCCCAGAGGGCGAACCTGCCGGGTGCCGCGCCGAACCCGGGACCCGGATGCCGCCCGCGCCCCTGGACCCGGCATCGACCACGAGGAGGCCCCCGCGGGAGAGCTGGGCCTCCTGCGGCCCGACCGCTTCGCCTCCCCGTCCACTCCCCACGGGGGGTCCGCCCCCCCTTCGCCTCCACCCCCCACGCGGGGTCCGCGCCCCCTTCGCCTCCACCCCCCGGGGGGTGCACCCCCCCTTCGCCTCCACCCTCCGCGGGGTCCGCCCCCCCTTCACTTCCCCCCACCCCGCGCGGGTCCGCACCCCCTTGGCCTCCCCCCACCCCGGGCGGGTCCGCACCCCCTTCGCCTCCCCCCGCGGGGTCCGCCCTGCCCCCCCTCCAGACCACAGGGCTCAGGTCCGCATCCTCCCCCGCCCCCACCCCGAGAACGCGCCCGCCCCGCTGACGCCACAAAGCCCCGCGCCCCGCCCTCCGGCCTCCGCGGGCTTCCCGGGCGGTGGGCGCTCTGCCCTGCGCCTGGCCGTGCGGCGTGCGCCCCCTCCGGTGAGTACCGGCCCCTGGACGGGCGGCGCTCGGGCTCAGGTCGGGACCCCGCCCACCCCGGCCCTTGTAGACGGGGCGTCCCGGCTTTGAAGATGTAAATTGGACCAGTCGGGTCGACGGGTTTAGTCCGCATTTACAGAGGACATTGGGGGACTCAGGGCGGCCCGGCACCGGCACTGATCCAGAGCCCTCGGACGGCTTCCCGCCGGCCTGAGCCAGACCCCAGCCCGCCAGACGCCCGCTCTCACCCGGCGTCTGTTGAGGGGGCAGCGCACACCTGGGGCCGCGGGGAGCGGAGGGCGAGATGCCCAGAGGCTCTGCGCGGGGACGCCCAGTCCAAGTGAACCGAGGCCGGGGCTCGGGCATTCACGGAACGCAGACGCCGTCGCCTCCGGACTGCAGAGAAGGGGACCTGGACGGTGCTTTAGTTCAGAAACGTGTTCAACTCCGGTCTCCCCGTCAGCCCCAATCGCCACCCGAGACGTGCACGGTGGACGCTGGGGATCTGCACTGCGTGGGGTCATGGGTATTCGGACGCCCAAGTGTGTGCGTACACACGTGCACGTGTCTGTGCGTGCGTGTGCATGCATGTGTGTAATGCGTGCACGTCTCTGTGTGGTGTGTGCACATGCGTTTGAGGTTTGCATGTGTGCACGCATGTGTGTATGTGTACGTGCGTGTGTACATGTGTGCACGCGTGTTCCTGTGTTTGTGTGTGTGTGCATGCATGCACATTCCTGTGTCTTTTCTGCACTGCACCTCGTCAAGGAAAGGCAGAGCTGGACGGTAGTTAGAACAGTAAAGGCAGATTTATTTCACACTATTGCAATAGGGGAAAAGAAAGCTGGGATAGACCTGGGGTTCTGTGTAGAACCCCATATAACCCCATATAAAGTTCAACTCGGGGTACAGACGGGCCCGTGGGGATCTATAGCCAAGGAGCAGGGTGGGAGTCAGTGATGGGAAATTACTGTGAAGAAACACCTCGAGGTTTTTGGCTAGCCACCCCCCCCCCGCCCCCGGGCAGGATGTTTGCTAAATTTGAACGATGCAGGGACTGAATCGAAGCCCAAGGCCTGGCCAGAAAGTTCCAGGAGCCTGGGCAGAGTTTGGTCAAGCAGAGGACCTTTGCCAACCCCGCCCCTAATGGGAGAGAGCTTTTTCTCTTCCAGTCCGGTCTCCTCTGTCGCATGGGCGTGGTGTTAAAGAGAAACTGATTCTGACGCTTGGTAAACTGGTAAAGAAGTTTATTCAAGACTGTTGCGGCCGGCCCGTCGCGTAGCGGTTAAGCGCGTGCGCGCGCTCCACTGCTCGAGGCCTGGGTTGGGATTCCGGGCACGCACCAGCGCACAGCTTGTCAGGCCATGCTGTGGCGGCGTCCTACGTAAAGTGGAGGAGGATAGGAACAGATGTTAGCTCAGGGCCAGTCTTCCTCAGTAAAAAAAGAGGAGGATTGGCATGGATGTTAGTTCAGGGCTGATCTTCCTCACAAAAACAAAACAAAACAAAACACCGTCCCAACAGCAGAGGGAGATGTGGCTCCTCTCCCAGTGCAGCTCAGACGACGGCGTCTACACCCAGGAACACAGTGGGGGTCAGGGATGGAAAGACACTGAGGTGACCTGGGGAGGGGGCTTCTTGCTGAACTGGCCCAGCGGGAGGGTCACAGACATATTCACCAAAGCTGGGGGAAGAGGAACTAGACCAGACATCAGCCCCTCACCATGGGGGGGGCTCTAAACCAACCTAATGGGATTCTCCAAAAGTGGGCAGGCTGGCCAGACAGACAGGCGGGCAGGGGGCCTGCCAGGTTTGGTCATGGAGAGGGTCTGTCAGCTTCCAGGGAGGCATTTGTGCCTCTTCTTGAGGAGGGTCAACATGACAGCTCGGGCGCCCTGAGAGGACCCATCTGCAGAAGGACCCTGCAGGAGTGTGGGGAGGCCCTGACTGCGGGCAGAGGGTGTGTGGGATGCTCTGTTCCTCCCCAGGAGCCATGGATGCTGTGGAACTGGCCAGAAAGCTGCAAGAGGAGGCCACCTGCTCCATCTGTCTCGACTACTTCACGGACCCTGTGATGACCACCTGCGGCCACAACTTCTGCCGCGAGTGCATCCGGCTGAGCTGGGAGAAGGCCAGAGGCAAGAAGGGCAGGAAGAAGCGCAGGGGCTCCTTCCCCTGCCCCGAGTGCCGCGAGCCATCCCCCCAGAGGAACCTGCGGCCCAACCGCCTGCTGACCAAGGTGGCTGAGATGGCGCGGCAGCACCCCGGCCTGCAGAGCAGGAAGCTGTGCGCGGTGCACCAGGAGCTGCTCAAGCTCTTCTGCCAGGACGACCAGAGCCCCATCTGTGTCGTCTGCAGGGAGTCCCGGGAGCATCGGCACCACGGGGTGGTCCCCATCGAGGAGGCCGTGCAGGAGTACAAGGTGGGCCCGGGGGGCGGGGACCCAGGAGGCCCGAGTGTGTGAGTGTCTTGAGGAGTGTATTAGTCAGGCCAGGGCATGGCTGTGTAACAAACAGCTCCGTGCACAGGACCGCATGGCAGAGGTGCGCCCAGGCCAGTGGTGCATCGCCTCTATGATGATTCAGGAGTCCAGGCTGAGGAAGGCGCTGCCTGACGCCAGTCCACATTCCCTGGTGGCCTCACGCAGCTGTCTGTGTGGGCAGGCTGGGCGACAGTCTACAGGGGGAAAGCCTTTCTCCTCGACCTGTTGATGCTCTCCGGCTGGAGGCCCCAAGATCAGACTGAGCAAAGACAGACCAATGGGAAGGGCGAACCAATCGTTAATACGTGGAGGCAGCACCTTGACGTGGGAGAAACCTCCGTGACAGAACAGAGGGGCGGTCAGAACTAGGGCTGATGTAGCATCTTAAGGAGGAACAGACCTCTGGAGAGAAGCAACAAGACCTCGGCAGAGGTCTCGGGCTCCCAGAGCAGCCGACTGGGGGAAGTGTCTCCGTCTGTCCCCACTGCCCTAACAGAATATCAGAGCCGGGGTGGCTGAGAAACAGCGGGAACCTACTGCTCACAGTCCTGGAGGCTGGAAGTCCGAGATCAGGGCCCAGCACGGTCGAGTGAGAGCCGCTTCTGGTCCACGCACAGCCACCTTCACACTGTGGCCTGTGTGGTGGAAGGGGCAAGGAGGATTGCTGGGGTCTCTGTGACGAGGGCACTGATCCCACTCCTGAGGGCTCCCCCCTCATGACTGGTCACCTCCTGGAGGCCCCACCTCCTAACACCATAGCCCTGGGGGTTAGCATTTCAGCATGAGTTTGGAGGCACAAACCTTCAGACCACAGCAGACGGTGAATATTTGGGGCAAACTAACGGAAGATAAGAGTTCCTAGTGCAGGTCCATGTCGGCACCAACTCTCCCTCTCCTTCACGGCCACAAAACTTCCCCAAACAGAGGATTCGTGGCAGCCCCCATTTCTCAGAAGTTTCTGCTTTTGGTCAGATAAGGGGAGTCCCAGGAAGGCGGCTCTGCATCTGCTGGTGCTCACTGGCCTCCAATTCCAAACAATCCTCTTGCCCAAGGGGCACATTTTGGGGTGGGGTATTTCCATCATATACAACCCCCTTGGGATGGTCTATGGTGGATGCAGCTTCAGAGAGCACCTTCCTCTGCCGGGTGTGAGGGGGCCTGACCCCATCTCCCGCGGGCCGTGTGCCCCACAGCTGAGGTTGGAGGACGACATGGAGCGCCTGCAGGAGGAGATGATGAAGACCGGGAAGCTGCAGACCAGGGAGGAACAGATCTTGGCGGAGTGGCAGGCAGGTGCTGGGGGCTGCACTGAGCTGGGCGGGAGGCCTGAGCGGGGCAGGGAGGCCAGGCGGGCCCCAGAGAGGGCCTCCTGCTGGACCCTTGAGCTGGAAGTCACTGTCGCATGTGGATGAGAGCGCAGGACCCCAGCAAGGTGGTGGAATTGCTCGCAGAATGAGGACTGGGAACGTGGGCTCAGCTGACTGGCCCTTGTGGAGACGCAGGGAGGGGGGCACACGGTGCTCAACAGGCCGTGTCACCGGGAGGGGGGCTTCTGCGTAGCCCCTGCTCCCACCCCTGCCCAGTTTGCTGGTTTTCTGTGGATACAGGTGCCCCGGGGAGATGTGCCGGCGGCCCCAGAGCATCCCTCCAGGCTGGCGGGCACACTCAGAAAGCGGACACGGGCGGCGGGTCTGGGGCGGCGCCTCATCTCTGGGGCTCCCTCCCCCCCAGGAGAAAGTGAAGGAGCAGAGGGACCGCATCGTGGTGGAGTTTGAAAAGACGGGCCTCTTCCTGCTGGAGGAGGAGCAGCGGCTCCTCCAGACCCTGAAGGAGGAGGAGGAGGAGACGGCGGCCAGGCTGCAGGAGAGCGCGGCTGCGCTGGAGCAGCAGAGACGCTCCCTGGAGATGCTGCTGTTGCAGCTGGAGGACAGGCGTGAGCGCGAGACACTGCAGATGCTGCAGGTGAGGGGCGCACCTGCCCACTTGGCCCGGGTGGGTGTGGGAGCATGAGTTCCAGCCCAGGTGTGGGCGACCTGCAGGAACAAGACAGACAAGGCTCCGTCTCAGTCAGCTCAGGCTGCATCACACACACCACAGCCTGGGGCTTCAAACCACAGACGTTCGTCGTCTCCCAGTCTGGAGGAGATGGGCAGGGCTGGTTCCTCCTGAGGCCTCTCTCCTTGGTGTGTAGATGGCCGTCTTTTCCGTGTGTCCTCACGTGGTCATCCCTCTGAGTGTCTGTGTCCTCATCTCCTCTTCTCATACGGACACAGTCATGTGGGATCAGGGCCCACCCCAGTGACCTCATTTCACCTTCATCACCTCCTAAAGGCCCCGTCTCCACATACAGTCCCATTCTGAGGTCCTGGGGGCTCCAACACAGGAATCTGGGGACACACTGCAGCCTGTGACAAGCTCCAGTCCTACAGACCTGTGTCCTGCATCCCCTTCCTTGTCCGGCAAGGTGGCCGGGGGCAGCTGTCACCACGTGGTGAGTTGGGGCAGGGACACACTGGCCCAGAGAGACACCCATGACTTCAGGGGCAGGAGCAAGTCAAGCGTCCCCTCCGAGGGTGACAGAAGTGGGGAGAAGCAGCTGGCATGCCAGGGACGGGCCGCACGCCGCAGCCCTGGAGGGGGTTCTGTTGCCGACAGTGAGTAACTGACGAGTCGTGTGTGGAGTGATGGAATCCACAGAAAAAATACGGGTCTCTCACACACACACACGCGCTTGCATGCACACACGTACATAAACGTGTCCTGATAGATTCTAGATCACAAGTCGCCCCAACTTTGGGGAATACTTTGTCTTCTAGTAAAAAGCAACCTGTTAGGAATCCACTGACTTCTGACCCACCCAAGGCCTGTGGCCGCAGTGTGAAGGCCCCGCTTGGTCTCCCCGCGTGTTCCCCGCCCCTCGGGAGCTGGACACCTTCCCTGTGTCCTTGCTTGTCATGCAGGGAGAGCAGGAGGCCTGGGTGGCCCAGACGCACGATTCCCGGGTGTGGCCTAGAAGTAGGGTAACACTCTGGAAAGCGGACTCAGGGCTCCTGGACAGCACTGTAAGGCCCCTCTAGCTCTGCAAGCCAGAAGTGTGGACACAGGGTACTTGGTGACACCCCAGGTTCCTAATGAGGCCTCCGATCTCTCCCCCCCCTCCGTGTCCTTCGCAGGACATGAAGGACCCTCTGGGCAGGTACGTGGCCGCCCTGGGTGGAGGCAGTAATGGGTGCAGGGAGGGCTCAGCATGGGGCTGGAGGGGACGGTGAGACCTGTGTCCATCGGAGGAAGAACAGCCTGAGTGTGCAGTACCCGGAGGCCACCCCCATTGTGCTGAGGACGGTCTGCAGGGTCCCTGGGCAGATAGAGGTGCTAAAGGGCTTCCAAGGTAATCAGGGCCCCAGTTCTCTCGGCAACACCCTACCCCGCTCCCAGCCACTCAGGGCCAGAGCCACCAATGGGGGGTCTTGACCGCACTAACCAATGCCCAAACAGCCCCCAGCCTCCTCTCTTTGGCACCCCAGTGTGGACAGCTGGGGGATGGGATCACACAGTAACCCCAGGTTCACAGCTGGACCTGGCTGATGGGGGATCTGGGGGGTTGGGGAGAATCAGGGATGATTTGGGCCCCCTCTCCCCACGGACCTGGGCCTGTCTGCAGAGGATGTGGTGCCCGACCCCACCACGGCATACCCCTACCTCATCTTGTACGAGAGCCGCCAGAGGCGCTACCTAAGCACCCCGCCCGACGGTGCACCCTGCGGCAAGGACAGGTTCCTGGCCTACCCCTGTGCGGTGGGCCAGGAGGCCTTCTCCTCAGGGAGGCACTACTGGGAGGTGGGCATGAACCTCACCGGAGACGCGCTGTGGGCCCTGGGCGTGTGCAGGGCCGATGTGAGCCGGAGGGACAGGGTCCCCAAGTCCCCGGAGAACGGGTTCTGGGTGGTGCAGCTGTGCAAAGGAAGGAAGTACATGCCCGCAGCGGCCGGCCCCACGCCTGCCACGCTGGCCGAGCCCCCCAGCCACGTGGGCGTCTTCCTGGACTTTGAGGCTGGGGAGGTGTCCTTCTACAATGTGAAGGACGGCTCCCACCTACACACCTACTCCCAGCCTACCTTCCCTGGGCCCCTGCAGCCCTTCTTCTGCCTCGGGGCCCCCAAATCCGGCCAGATGGTCATCTCTACAGTGACCCTGTGGGTGAAGGGTTAGGGGTGCTGGCCCAGGGCGCCGGCGCCCCGGTCTCTCGGGAAGGTGAGGTGGTCCAGCTCAGTGAGGCCACCTGCCTGGCTTCTCCCCAGTGGAGCTGTGAGAGCCACCGCTGTGCAGGATGGTTTCACAGGCCAAAATACAATTGTGATTCAAGCAGCTAAACATCGGGACTGTGTTCATAGATGCTTCGTAGAGGAACCTTCCAGGAGGCCCCAAGTTAGATAGTGGACCAACTTCTAAATACACACAGACCAACCAGGCCAGTGTAGCCCCGTTTTCTTTAGCCACGTCCACACCCCCACCCCCATCCTCTTAGGGATGGTGCCGCCTCATTGGCTTCTCTGTTGTCTGGTTATTGTGTGTACTAGCCACGGCCTCAGGTGTCCACTTTCTTTGTCGTCCAGAAATTCCATGTTTGGGTCCTTCACAGAAAAAAAGGGGGAAGTGAGACGTTTCAAACTGAACCCCTAAAAGCCTCAGAGCACTCACCCCATCCCTTTCCACCTCTCCCAAGTTGCACCTGAGGGGGCGAAATTCAAAGGAAATAATAAGGATTATGGGGAGGGGGCAGGCCTGTTCCATTCTTTTCACTCCCTCTCCACGCCCCCCCACCCCCGCAGTTTCAGGCGCATTAACAGCCCTGGAACAATCACTAGCTCCCCAGAATTCCAGGCAATGTACCCCTACACCAACAAGACCAGAGTCCTTGCGGGCCCAGCTGCTCACCCCGTTCATTCTGATCCTGCCCGGCCTGGGGGCGCGCGGGGAACGCCTGGGGCTCCCCTTGTCCTCGCGGTCACTGAGCGGGCAGCCCCGCTGGCTCCGGCCCCTGCACCCCACCCTTCCCGGAGCCCGAGGGAGAGGCCGGGCTGCGCGACCCCAGAGCGACCCGCAGCCAGCAGTGCGCGCGCGAGGGCGGCGGCGGCGACGCAAGGTCACCGGGGGAACAGCCTCCAATTCAGTCCGGCCCGCGGGCCGCGTGACAGGCCGCGGCCAATCCGGGGCTAAAGCGGGTTGTTCCAAAAAAAAAAAAAAAAAACCACTCAGCTGCTTCCTGCTTCCGCCAAGGCTCCTCTTCCTGCCGGCGTCCGGGAGCCCTGCGCCCTGTGTTGGAGCCACGGCAGCCCCGGAGCCGCGCGTCTCGCCTCCCCGGAGTCCCCGCGCCCTGAAGTCCCCCGCATACCCCGGTGCCCGGCGCCTCGCGTCCCCGCAACCCCCGCGACCCCCGGTGCCCTGCGTCTCGCGTCCCCGCGCGCTCCCCAAAGTCCCGGCAGCGGCAGGCCACTGCGCGACCCGGAGGAGAGCGCCGCCTTCCTGCGCTCCGCAGGCACCATGGCCGCCCCCGACCTGTCCACCAACCTCCAGGAGGAGGCCACCTGCGCCATCTGCCTCGACTACTTCACGGACCCAGTGATGACCGACTGCGGCCACAACTTCTGCCGCGAGTGCATCCGGCGCTGCTGGGGCCAGCCCGAGGGCCCGTACGCGTGCCCCGAGTGCCGCGAGCTGTCCCCGCAGAGGAACCTGCGGCCCAACCGCCCGCTCGCCAAGATGGCCGAGATGGCGCGGCGCCTGCACCCGCCGTCGCCGGTCCCGCAGGGCGTGTGCGCCGCGCACCGCGAGCCGCTGGCTGCCTTCTGCGCCGACGAGCTGCGCCTGCTGTGCGCGGCCTGCGAGCGCTCTGGGGAGCACTGGGCGCACCGCGTGCGCCCGCTGCAGGAGGCGGCCGACGACCTCAAGGTGTGCCCGGGGGGCGGGGCCCCGGTCTGGGGGGCGGTGAGCTGCGCGGCCCGGCCCGGCTATGGGGCCGGGGGTGGGCCGCTCTTGGAGGCCGAGGTCCCGCGATGGTCGGGGACTGGGCAGGTGTGACGGACAGCTGGCGGGGATGGAGCCTGGAGCAGGAGAATGCAGGAGGAGACTCTCAGAGATGGCTGGTCTTAGACGGACGAGGACGGATGAGAATTTTGAGCTCTCAGAGGGTTGTGGGCAGGGCAGGGCCGTGGGGCAAAGGCCAGGGCTGAAGTCTTGGTGAGAAAAGACTGGGGGCGGGGGCAGCTGCTGCACAGCCCCAGGCTGGCGTCCACGGAGGACAGAGCCGTTGCCCTGGGAAGTAGGCAGACCCCCGGGCTCTCCGGCTTTCTCAGTGGGGCACTAGGGGCCGCCTCTGCTGTGGGACTTGCGGCGTCAGCCCCGATTTGACCCCAGGCTGAGATGCTTTGTTTTTCTGTACCGGAAATGCATTTCTTTAAAAGGCAAACCACCACCAGCGGAAACCTCTGCTGAGAGCCTCAGGGCAGACGCTCACCTTGGCTGGCCGCCTGCCCCATTCCTCGCTGGCCTGCCCTGGGTTTGTTTCTGGAACCCCAAGTACTGAATGCTGGGCAGCGTCTTTCAAACGTTTTGGCTGCATTTTGCTTCCTGGACAGTAGTGTGTGTTTGCCCAGATGCACCAAGAACACGGTTTAGCCAGCATTAGAATCAGTACTCTGCCAGCTGTGACTACGGTGGAACAAGCTTCTGGGACACCAGAATAAACCTGTACCCCGATCCACGTCAGCAGGCTTGTCTTGACAGATTCCTGTGGCTCTTTTTCTCTCGCTGTGAGATACAACACATTCAAGAACGTCCACTTCTGTATCATGCCAGCAGGTTTGCACTCCTGTCACCACACACCCCGATCAGGGTGCAGAGAGTGACCAGAGAGCAGAGAGTGACCAGCAGCTCTCCAGAGGCCACTACTAGCTGACGTGATAAAGTCCCATGAGGCAGCATTTAATCCTTCCATTATAGGGGAGGAGAAGCCTTTTCCTCTACGCTGTTAGGATTGGTGCTTGAGGCCTGTGAATTAAACTGACAAAAGACAGATCAACAGGTGAAAAAACATAAAGTTTTATTAGCTTTTTAAATTTTACGTGGCACAAGGGCTCAACAGGAAAGAAACGGAAAAACCGAAAAAGTGGTCAGACTCGAGGGCTCATGTTCCATTTTAACAGAGAGTGATAAACTAGAGAAGTCAAGAGACAAAGGAAGGGGGCTTTGCACTTCTAGGGCCGATAAGTTGTGGGAAAGGGACTAGGAAATATATGGGGGAACGGATGGAAAGTCAGGGCTATGTAGTAAGGTGTGTTCAGGCGGGTTCACCTCAGTGTCGATGACTGGCCATGAGTGCTCTCCGTGTCCTGGTACAGGGTGGTGTGCCTGTACAGGCCCCGTGGACACTGCCTCTCTCGCTCTGTGGCAGTCCTTCAGACCTCCCTGTGTCCCTGGGCTCGTGGCTGTCCCAGGTTCCAGTGTGCTGTGTTGAGTTGAAGTCAACAGTCAGGCGTGGGCCTGGGATCAGGCTCAGGGAGGCGGATACAAATGTGCCCATCCCACGGCTCGTTCCTGTGATGCTGAAACACCGCAGGCCCAGAGAAGTGAAGGGGTTTGGAGGAAAGAAGGCTGTGATGCGGTGGGATGTAGGACGTGGGGTGTGGGAAGGTTGGCCAGAGACGAGGACAGCCAGGGAAAGGAAATGCGAGCAAGGGGCCAGGATGTCGGCCTTGGCGGTGGGTGGGAGGGCATCTCCTGGCAAATTTGAGTTTGTCCCGCCTGTCGGGTCCCAGACGCTGTTTCCTAGGACTGTGTCCCTGCGGAGTTGAGGCTCAGCTGGAGTTGGGCAGGCGGGAGGCCTTGGGGGCGGGAGTCACTGTCTGGCCTTTCCTCCCCGCAGGGCAAGCTGGAGAAGTCCCTGGAGCATCTGCGGAAGCAGATGGAGGACGCGCTGCTATTCCAGGCCCAGGCGGAGGAGACCTGCGCCCTGTGGCAGGCAGGTGGCTCGGCGCCCAGGGTCCCAGAGGGTGGAGGATGGGGGGCCACTGGGGCCCCACTGCGGGAGGCTGCCGTCCCCATTCGGCTTCATGCTTCTGCATAAGGCGGCACCCCTGCTCCAGACTCCGTATATAACCTGCCTTGGGGGGTGGGGGGTGGGGGTTGAGGAGGGATGGATATGGGGGCCTTGGATGGTGGATTTGGTGGTGGGCGGAAGAGGTGTGGAGGGGTCCCGAGTGGTAGATTTAGGGGTGGAGTGGGGCTCAGGAGGACCGGGCATGGGGGCCCCAGGTAGGTGGTAGATTTGGGCATTAGGGAGGGACTGGGTGTGGGGGCCCCTGGCCATCAGCCGTCCACTGCGGCCCCCACAGAAGATGGTGGAGAGCCAGCGGCAGAACGTGCTGGTGGAGTTCGAGCGGCTGCGCCGCCTGCTGGTGGAGGAGGAGCAGCGGCTGCTGCAGCGGCTGGAGGAGGAGGAGCTGGAGGTGCTGCCGCCGCTGCGGGAGAGCGCCGCCCGGCTCGCGCAGCAGAGCGCCCAGCTGGCTGAGCTCGTCGCGGAGCTGGAGGGGCGCTGCCAGCTGCCGGCGCTGGGGCTGCTGCAGGTGAGCCGGCCCCCAGCCCTGGCCGTGCCACGTTGGGGCTCTCGGTGGGTGGGGTTGCGGGAGTGGAGGGCAAGGCGGTGGAGGGAGCCGTGGGCAGAGCAGGCCGTCCTCGCGCTGGGCCAGGTGCCCCAGGTGTGATTGTGGGTCCCATGGACGCGGCAGCCTGGGGGGTGGACACCAGTCCTGAGCCGTGTTGAGAACTGTTGGCACCGGTCTAGGAGCCCCACTAGGGACTGGCCAGGCCTGGTGCTGGGCGGCATTCCAGGATCCAGAGCCTGTGGGTCACTGCCCAGCCCTCTGAAGGCTTGGGCCCACTGGGCTGAGAGGAAGGGCCGGCGGGTCTCCCAGAGGCTTCCTGCATCGGCTCCCTGTCGCCCCGAGGATCTGCCTGGCTCCTGGGCCAGCTCTTCCTGTCCCCAGGCAGGAGCAAGGTCGCTGCATGCATGGTCCAGGGGGCTTCCTGTGGGAGGTGACCCCCTGTGGAGCCTCAGCTAACAGAAGAGGCTCCTGGCCACTGTCCTGGGCTTTGAACCTGGCCCTTTGGCCTCTGCTGAGCCATCGAGCGGTTTTAAGCCTGGGAAACAGGAAGAACCCCAGGCGAGTGTCTGGGGGACTTGAGGGAAGTCGGACTCGGCCCGGGTTGTAAAGTGGGGGCTGGGCAGCCAGCCAGGAAGTGGGGGTGGGCAGCCTCAGGAGCATGTGGTGCTAGAGAAGCCGTGGAACGGAGCTTCCTGAAGGAGGAAGAGAGCCTGGCGAGTGAGGTGGAGCCACGGAAATGCGGCATGGGGTCTCTGCTGAGGTGTCCCAGGGGCGGGGGTCTCCGCCAGCCTAGCTGCGTTTCATACCACTGAGTGGCTGCCTGCCCCCCACCTTGTCCCCCCAGTGCTGCCACCTGCCCCCTGCTGCTCATGGCCCCTGGTCCTGCCGTCCTCTGCGGCCCTAGCTCGCAGACTTCAGGGGCGTTCCCCCAGCCCCAGCTCCCCTGCCTGTGCTGTGGGGGGCGTGGGGGAGCAGCCCTGCAGCACCCTGTTTACTGGTGTGAGTGAGGAGGTCGGTGGGCTCGCACCTTTGGCCGACGGTGCTGGACGGGGAAGGCAAGGGTTGAGGTGACTGCCAGGAGCCCACCCCCTGGCTCCTAGCTGCCCCCCAGGCCTTCCCTCCTAGCCATCCTCCATGGGCACACAGTGTTCTCCTAAAGGGCTGCGTGTCCGAGTCCCCACCGCCCAGGGTGGCCAGGTGGTCTCCACAGAGGCCAACCCCCTCCCCTGGGGGCCCCAGACCCCCACCCCCCCAGTCCTCTTCTGCTGCTCCACCCCTCTCACCGTGTGTCCCCACATACACACACATGCTGTTCTGAGCGGCCGGCCTCGTCACAGCCAAGACCACCCCCCGTCTCCCAACACCCAGGTGAAATGACTCAGGCTGTTTCCGCTTTGCACCCAGCCCACGGCAGGCTCCTCGTGTTCCAGGCCCTTTGTATGTGCCTCTCCCAGGCTTGCAGCGAGTCTCGTGTCTCCCAGTGAACTCTCCTTGGGCTGCAGAAGCCCACCAGTCTTCCTTTGAGGTCTAGTGTGTGTCGTTACCCCCACACAGCATCAACCACTTGTGTGTGACAATCTCCCGCCTCACGGGAAGCCTTCATCGGGCACAGTGTTACCTACTTCTGTGTCCCAGGGTCCAGCCTGGTAGCTGGTGCACAGTGGGGTCAGAATGACCACATATGGGGTTCCTCTGACTGACCACGTGGGCCAGGTCCCTGCTGTGCTGTTCTAAAAAGACAAAAGACCAAGCTGCTTGCCACCAGCTGAGCGTCTCAGTCAGCTCGGGCTGCATAACAACCACCTCAGTCTGGGGCTCAAACCACAGACGTTCATTCTCTTCCAGTCTGGAGGCTGGAAGTCAGAGGTCCAGATGTGGGCGGGGCTGGTTCCTCCTGAGGCCTCTCTCGGTGTGTAGACGGCCATCTTCTCCCTGTGTCCTCACATGGTCATCTTTCTGTCTTCATCTCCTATACAGACACAGTCATGTGGGATCAGGGCCCACCCCAGTGACCTCATTTTACCTTCATCATCTCCTTAGAGGCCCTGTCTCCACACACAGTCCCATTCTGAGGTCTTAGGGGCTGGGGCTCCAACACAGGAATCTGGGGACACACTGCAGCCCATGACACTGAGCAGAATGCTCTCACAGATCATCGTTGGGAAGGTGGAGTGTGAGCTGGGACCTGAGAGGGCCGCAGGCGCAGGCTGGGCAGCGGGGGAGTGGGCGGGAGCAGGCGAAGCCAGACAGCCAGGTGCGTGGAGCCCAGCAGGTGGGAGGCGCTAGACCAACACAGGTGTGGCTCCCAGCAGGTGGAGATAGCACCCACTGGGACCCCACCCCACCTGTTTCAGCACCCGGGGTGCTGGGAGCTCTGTGTGGGGGAGCCCGCAGCCTAACGTCCTGTGTCCTCTGAGCATGCAGAGGGAATGGGGCCGAGTCTGCAGGGCTGGCCACACCCCAAGCCTCCCCAGTGTCCCTGTGTCTGAGCCACACTTTGTGGGCGTGTGTCTGTGTATCTGCTGCCCCGTGCTCCGGGGGCCAAGGGGGAGCAGAGACATTGGAGGGGCGACAGGGCAGGGCATGGGGGCCCAGTACAGGGACGGGCACTGACACTGTGTCTCTCTCCACAGGACGTCAGGGACACCCTGCGCAGGTAGGAACCCAGCCTGTCCCCGGGGGCGGGGGGCGGGGTGAGCCCGCTGCAGGGGTGACGCCCGTGCTGCTCCTCAGGGTCCAGGACGTGAAGCTGCAGCCGCCCGAGGTGGTGCCCATGGAGATGAGGACGGTGTGCAGGGTGCCGGGGCTGGTGGAAGCCCTGCGGCGGTTCCGAGGTGGGTGCCGGGCAGCGTTTGGAGGCCGGGGGCTTGCTGCTGGCTGTAGTCCAGAAGTGTGGGTCCTGAGCTGCTGGTGTCAGGGTCTGGTGGGAACGGCTCCTAGTTCATGGGCGAGAGGCCAGGAGGGGTCAGGGCCGTCGGACAGGATGGCAGGCGGCAGCCGAGGAGCGGCCAGGCCCCGGGAGCCTGGTGTGAGCTGGGCTAGAAGGCACTCACTCCTCTCTGGGCGCTGAGTGGACGTAGAAAGCACTAGGGGTTCCTCTCCTCTAAAGGAGGATGAATCGCAAGGTGATGTTGGCCACCTTCTAGAATATTCCAAGTTGCAGCTAGAAGTGGTTAGGTGATCTTGTCAGAGTGGGAGGGAGCACGGTCAGTTTGTGGCCAGTCCCTCCCGCTGGCTGCGAGGGTGCAGGGGCCTGGGGCAGACAGCCTCGCAGGGTGACCACTGCTCTGTCTGCAGGGGATGTGACTCTGGATCCCGACACCGCCAACCCCGAGCTGGTCCTGTCGGAGGACAGGAGGAGCGTGCGGCGGGGGGACCTGCGGCAGCCCCTGCCCGACAGCCCCGAGCGGTTCGACCCTGGGCCCTGCGTGCTCGGCCGGGAGCCCCTGACCTCGGGCCGCCACTACTGGGAGGTGGAGGTGGGGGAGCGGGCCAGCTGGGCCCTGGGTGTCTGCAGGGACAACGCCAACCGCAAGGAGAAGGGCGAGCTGTTTGCCGGCAACGGCTTCTGGATCCTGGTGTTCCTGGGAAGTTACTACAACTCCTCCGAGCGGGCCTTCGCCCCACTCCGGGACCCACCCCGGCGCGTGGGCGTCTTTCTGGACTACGAGGCTGGACATCTGTCCTTCTACAGCGCCACCGACGGCTCGCTGTTATATGCCTTCCCTGAGACGCCCTTCTCAGGGACCCTCCGGGCCCTCTTCTCACCTCTGTCTAGCAGCCCAACCCCTATGACCATCTGCAGGCCAAAAGGCGGGCCTGGGGACATGCTAGCTCCCCAGTGAGGGGCCCCTTATGAGCGAGTGGGCTTCTCACGGTCCCTTGTCCTGACTTGGGATCTTTGAGCCACCTGGAAAACCTGGGAGAAGAGCTCGTAGTGCCTCTCAGACGTGCGTAGTAAAACCGGACTCGGTCACTGTCATTCCTGGGAAGCTGTGCGAACGTGTGCAGGGCCGGCTGCGTCCTGTCCTGGGGTGCCCTCCAAGGTCATTGGGTGCCAAGACCCCATTTGCTGGCGCGTTGCCAACAGCCCTTTGCAGAACCCCAAGCCCAGGACCCTGGCAGCTCTGGTTCCAGGAGCCCACCCAGCCTGGCCATGGTCTGGGGTGGGGCTCCGGGGCCTGACGACCCTGAGGCTGCACCCTGAGGAAGCTGCCATTTCTGTGTGGCTGCTGGTGGGAGGAGCTCCAAGCCTGCCGGCCCGGCTCAGGGTCTGGTCCTATAACACGGGCTGGATGTGGTTGTCCCCAGTTAGTTAGGGTGCAGCAGAGTCCTCTGGAGAGGTGGTCGGGGAAAGGCCACAGGAGGGGAGCTGGGAGGAAAAGGCGCTGATACAGGGACCGAGTAACCAGGACCCACAAAAGGCCGACCATTCAGGGGTTCTAGAAAATGCTCCTTCCCTGACCGCCAGTGCAGAGGCCGAAATGCAGGGGGCCTATGGGCTTGGACGTGAGCACAGGGCTGACAAGCTCCAGGTTCCATCTGAGCTGGGCTGAGAACCGCAGGCTGGTGTTGACACCACCTCTGCCCTGGGGGGCCATCCCCAAGTCTGCCTGGGGCTGGGGGCAAGGCTGCAAAGGGCCTCTCCTTATAGAATCCGGGATTTGTTTTGCTTGTAAGTTCTGCGTGTCTTCGCCCTTCTCACAAAGATGCAGCATCTCTGCACCCCTAGGATTTATTTATTGTAAGGGCCCGTTCTCACAGTAAATAAACTCACCATTGTCTGCAATCCCACTGTTTACGTGGGGGCGTGGGAAAACCCACTGGGAGGAGGGCTGGCCCCGGGAGGGTGATGTGGAGGCAGGATGCTCCCAGGCAAAGTCAGAGATGCAGCTGCTGCCCTCACAAACACAGCAACTCCCAGACGTGGTCTTCGTGGTCTTTGCTGAGCGTGCATGTTCATTTCACGCGCCTGCTGTGGGATTCTTTTTCTTTTTCCAGATAACCTGATAAACACTCCATTTCCCACTGTGTTCAGTAGCCATGTAGTTTTCCATTTATGGGTCATTTATTTACTCATTTTCCCATTCTTGGACTTTTTTGTTATTATGTGTTCCCCTTTGAATATCTTCAACAATTCCTTCTAATTATGTGCACAGAGGAAGGATTTTCAAGCGAGGGGTCTGGGCCTTCTCCTGGCTGGGGACTTGTCCCTGTCTCCTTTTCCCGAGCAACTGTGCCCACTCTGTCGCTTCCTGTTGACAACCTGAGCATACCCACTGGTTCCTGCCTGGAGCAAGATTTGTACTTGAAGGCTTGGGACTTCCACCATGGCCACAGCAACCCTGCCGGTGGGACAGCCTCGCAGGTGACAGCACAGACGAGCACACAGCCGCACCCAGGACACCAGGACAGATGCCTCCAGCCACAGCATTGGACGGCAGAACGCTGGACGCCAGTGTCAGGGAGAACCATTTGTCTCCACCATTCTGAGCTCTTGGCAGACACCCTGCAACAGACAGATTAAGAAGAGAAAAACAAGTTTATGAACATGTACACCTCATGTACACATGGGAGACCCCCAGGGAGGATGAGTTCTAAGCTGCTACTCAGAGTGATCTAGTGCTAGCGATCAATGCTAGCAGTGGGTGAGCCCCTCAGAGTAGCAGCTTAGAACTCCTGCTCATACAGCATCTTCCACAAAGAACAGAAGTTCATGGATAACTTCTGTTATCCATTTTATCAATGGATAAATGACTGGACGAGAAGGCAGGTATAGACTTGCAAGGCCGGCCAACCGTGGGCAGGTAAACGAGTGGTAGATAAGGCTAGTTAGTAGGTGTGTTAGGTGGATTCCCTGGTGCTGTCTCCAGGCTGGAAGGTCTAGAGTTGTCTCCTGTGACTGCTGTAGCCCTTCCTGTGCAGAGGGACAGGGACACCTCTGTCAGTGTCTGTCTGGCTTGTAGGCAGGTGGTGCAGGCAGGTGCTTGTCTTGTATCTGCTCTTCTCAACTGCCTCCAGCTCAAAATAATCCTTATGCCACATGGGATGTTTTGGGGCAGCGTATTCTGCTGTCCTTCACCAATTAGGGGATGAGCTTCAGTGGTGCTCACAGACAAGCACACACCTGAATCACCTTTCTAGGTGTTCTACTGCTGAAACCAGCCCCCACAATTCTAGGCGTGAAGGGACTACAGGAAACACAAGGCTCCTGCACGTGGGCAGACAGCTCGGAGAGAGACAGGAAACGACCTGTGACTCATGTCAGCAGTGGCTGAGCCCTACACCAGCAGTGGGTGATCTCCACTAGCAGCAGGTGATCTCCTACACTAGCAGTGAGTGATCACCTACACTAACAGTGGTGATCTACACTAGCGATGGGTGATCTTTTTTGTGTGTGTGTGAGGAAGATTGGCCCTGACCTAACATCTGCCAATCCTCCTCTCTTTTTGCTGAGGAAGACTGGCCCCGGGCCAACATGCATGCCCATCTTCCCCTACTTTATATGGGATGCTGCCACAGCATGGCTTGACAAGTGGTGCGTCGGTGCACGCCCGGGATCCAAACCGGCGAACCCTGGGCCTCCGCAGCAGAGCGTGTGCACTTAACCACTTGCGCCACCAGGCTGGCCCCAGCAATGGGTGATCTATGCTAGCAGTGGGTGAGCTCCTACACTAGCAGTAGAAGATCTACACTAGCAGTGGGTGATCCATACTAGCAGTGGTGATCTCCTACACTAGCGGTGGGTGAGCCCTTATACTAGCAGTGGATGATCTACACTAGCAGTGGTGATCTTCTACACTAGCAGTGGGTGAGCTCCTACACTAGCAGTGGGTGATCTTCCACACTAGCAGTGGGTGATCTACACTAGCAGTGGGTGATCTACACTAGCAGTGGTGATCTACACTAGCAGTAGGTGATCTCCTACACTAGCAGTGGGTGATCTTCTACACTAGCAGTGAGTGATCTCCTACACTAGCAGTGGGTGGTCTACACTAGCAGTGGGTGATCTCCTACAATAGCAGTGGATGAGTTCCCACACTAGCAGTGGGTGATCTTCTACACTAGCAGTGGGTGATCTCCTACACTAGCAGTGGGTGATCTCCTATACTAGCAGTGGGTGAGCACCTACACTAGCAGTGGTGGTCTCCTACACTACCGGTAGATGATTGACAGCAGCCAATGGGTCAAAAAAGAAATGACAAGAGAAATCAGTAAGTATCTGGAGATAAATGAAAACACAAAATACCAAAACTTACAGGATGCAGTGAAAGCAGTTTTAAGAGGAAAATTGTAGCTGTAAATGTTTACCTAGAGGAGAAACCTCAAATCAACAACCTAGCATTACACCTCAAGGAACTAGAAAAAGAAGACAAACTAAACCCAAATCTAGCAGAATGAAAGAAATAAAGGTTAGAACAGTGATAAATGAAATAAAGACAAGAAAAGCAATAGAGAAAAACAACAAACCAAGAGTTTGTTCTTTGAAAAGAGCAATAAAATTGACTAACATTTAGCTAAATTAACTATGAAAAAAGAGAAAACTCAGATAATTAAAACCAGAAGTGAAAGAGGGGACATGACTATTGATTCTACAGAAATAAGAAAGATTATGAGAGAATACTATTGGCAATTGTACGCCAACAAATTGGATAACTTAGAAGAAATGGATAAATTTCTAGAAACATACAACCTACAAAGACTAATCAGGAAGAAGCAGAAAATCTTTTTTTTTTTTTTTTTGAGGAAGATTAGCCCTGAGCTAACATCCACGCTAATCCTCCTCTTTTTTTTTGCTGAGGAAGACCGGCTCTGAGCTAACATCTATTGCCAATCCTCCTCCTTTTTTTTTTCCCCAAAGCCCCAGTAGACAGTTGTATGTCATAGTTGCACATCCTTCTAGTTGCTGTATGTGGGACGCGGCCTCAGCATGGCCGGAGAAGCAGTGCCTAGGTGTGCGCCCGGATCCGAACCCGGGCCGCCAGTTGCGGAGTGTGTGCACTTAACGCTAAGCCACAGGGCTGGCCCAGAAACAGAAAATCTGAACAGACCTACAGCTGGTAAGGAGATTGAATTGTTAATCCAAAACCTCCCAAGCTCCCCTTTGTTCCTGCCTTTGAAACTTCCCTGAGAAGCATCACAGTCCAGAAGCTGAGGTGGTAGATTGCTCCATCTCAATGAACGGGTCTCTTAGTCCTAAGAACAGGTCAGTTCAGTTCAACAGTGTGTCTCATTTCAGGAGGGGGTGATGCATGTGGGGTCACCAAGTTAGGCCTGTATGGTATGAGTAATCGGGTATTTAATAAGAGGCATTTATATGGAAACAATATAAAAAAGTTAATGGTTGGAGCAAATTATAAACCCAGCTTCTGAGTTCTGAGGACAGCCAGTCAGAAGATTTCTGGATGTTTTGCAGTTTGAACATCATTGGACGTTCTAGTGAACTTTCTGAGCGGCTCCACAGCGACGGGCATGACGTTGTCCATACATGAGCTGTTGTGGTGATTCCTCTGGAGCTCATATCAAGTCGTCCAGCTGCAGCCTGCAGGGAAAGGGCAGTTTTTGTTCTTAGCAATTCCAAGTCAAAACGGCCCAAGTAAGTTGGAAACACTAGTTTGGAGAGTTGTAGCCAGATGTTGGAAGAAACTGTATCCAGTCTGGTTTACAGGTAGGTAACAAAATCTCAAAGGCGATGAACAGGACTAGGATCTGATATCCACAAGAATGTGTTATAGTTCCTACGAAAACAATTTTCCTCTCTATAATCACCCCACTTCCACCATACGTAACCAAAGTAAGACTAATTTGTCTAGTTGCAAACTTAGCCTGATTATTTACATAAGTGCAGCAAGAATACTAATGACTGTATAGGCTCTTTTAAATCTGCTTTGCTGGAACTTTTCATAAGGAATCTCAGATTAGA